TTTCAATAATTTGTCTTACTATGGAGAAAGAAGTAAAATGAGAGAAAAAAAAAAAGGTTATCGACAACAACTTTTACATGATGTACCATTTCATATTATGAATGACGAGGATATCGAAATAATTTTTTTAAGTATATTGATTGAGAAATAATTGATCAAAATAAATGGACACAATCCTAAGAAATTGCACTTACTAGAAAAACATAAAATTTTTGGATCTACAGTCCGAACACCTAAAAGTGTATACAGTCTACTTATGCGAAATGAAAATAGAAAAATAAAGTCGTAATATGTAATATACATTTCTTAGCATAATGAATTTTGTAAAAACTTGTATAAATAGATAAATTATCATGTGGTGGATGCATTCACAAGTCGATATCTTGTTAGCTTGACAACGAATGAATTTGATATGCTTGTAATAAATTTGATTATAGCCAACTCATCTGCATTGCTATTAAGGTTAACTTTAAGGATTTTATACCTAAAGCAGATAACTAAAGTTATTTTATTATGAGTGAGAATTAATGCGCGTTATATTCATTTTTTCTTGACAAACGTTTTATCCCATTGGGTTTTTCTATCAATGTTTTTAATGAGAGAAAATTTGTAACAGACTTAAAAGAATAATTTATTCTTTTTCTTTTATTAGGATTTTTCTAATAAGATATTAACGAGATATATCCTTTGTGTAATGAATGCCCATAATATACATGACATTTACCTTCAAAATAATATTCTTATATGTATTAGACTCCCAAATAGATCAACTAGAGCTACTTTTTCGAATCATCATATAACTATAGTCATTAAAGGTTAATAAACATTGAGGAAATTATAAAAAATGTCCATTTTGATATAGTCATTTGTGAAAATGTCCAAAAATTTTCAATGTCCATTTTTGCAATTATTTGAACGAGAGTACACCTAAGTAGCTTCCATGAGAAACTATATTAAAATGATGTTCTCGACATTTTAAATGTCATTTTCGATATTTAAATGCGTTTATATTTCAAAAGTACATACATCAAATCACAATATTAAATATTCTTGACATTTCAAACATTGTTCTCGACATATTAACTTTCTAGAATGACATTTCATTTCGAACATGACATTTCTCTACACTTTAAATGTTGTTCTCAACATTTTTGTATCTAGCATTTATTGTGAATTAACATGTGCAATATGAAATTATTTATTCTTTCATTAAGGCTAAAATATAGAATTTGGTATCAAACTTGGCCATTTTTGTAAATATTATCAAAAGTAGACATTTTTGAATTGACATATGCAAAATTGGACATTTTTGCAAATGCCCCATATATATTTGTATGAAGACATTGGCGTAAAAGATAATGAGGAATTGATTTAGGCTATTGAAGACATTGATGTACAGAACAATGATGAATTGATACAAGAATTGAAATTATGAAGAGCTATGTACTCTTTTTCCTTCAATCAAGTTTTGTCCTAATGGATTTTTTTGACAAATTTTTAACGAGGCAGGTATTTTGAAATGTCTTATTCAAGGAAGAATGTTATAAATAATATGATTATTAGTGAATGAAAATTATACATCTATGACCCCGCCCTAATTTTTATTACTGTTGTATTCTTAATTCATCCCTTAAAATATAGGATTTTGTTTCTCAATAAAATACACAAATCTATTGATTTCTCTTTATCCACTCTTTTTATAATATACGTAATATTTTACAATATTAACTTTTATATCCTAATACAGTTATCTATCTCAATCATTATCCAACATATAATTTTTAGTATAGGCAAGCTCCCATTGACCTTAGTAGATCATCTCAAAATATTTGAAAAGTAAAATTATGATGAGAATGAACAATAATTCAGTGAACAGAATTATGTGTGCATGTATGTGTCTAGGTACGCAAGATGTGACGTGGTGTGTTCTTATTTAGGCTCCCCAAAATTCGACCATAGTACAAACTCTTAATCATAATTATAAATAGTGGAAATTCAACTTTTTTATGTTAATAATAATTATAAAATTATATTAATTTAAATACCCACCCTCCTATTTTCATCCAAAACCCTAAATTATTTCCCCTGCTCTATCTTCCCCTTCTTTCTCACTTCTCCCTTCTCTCTCTCGCTTTTCTCTTATCTCTCTTTGTCATAACTAAACACTACAGGTAAAGCTCATAGCAGCGAGCACTGCTATACGTGGAGCTCGCCGTTGAGCATTGTGCACCATGACACTTGCCACTAATAGTACTGCACAACGGTGGTCACAACTAAGCTTCGTGAGCAATGACACTCACCGATATTAGTGGATTAATGGAATAGTCGACATTGTAGGAGTAGATTGTGGGGATGGAGATAATTGTGGATTAATGGATATAGCCGGTGATTGCCGACTACGGGAGTTATGTTTGCCGATTGTTAGATTGTGTGAGAGTGATTTGAAGAGTGATTGTGATCAATTATATGGGTACTTGTGACCACCAAATGTTGATTTGTGACCAATAAATAATATTGATTGATAAAATAGATAATTTGTGACCTAAAAATATGAGATTGTAACTAAATTTGTAATTGTGACTCACAATTTGTTAATTTTTTTTTTTTTCAATAAAAGCATCCACACATGCTTAGTGACTTTTTAGGGTCCACCAAAGAAGGTCGTTGGGGGTCAAGGATATATATATATATATATAGAGGAAAGGAGAGGGACATAAACCTGACCTCCGATAAAGCAACAATGTAACAATGAATAAAAAAGAAATTAAGGCAATAAATAGGGAAGTACTATTTCCATGTACAAAGGAATTAATGCATAAAATGGAACATAAGCTACAAACCTCTAAAGTTGGGTAGTCCTTGTCCATCGATCTATATCAGTGTCCCAATCTGTCGTAGTAGGTCAGATGGTCCATACTCCTGATAGCGCCGATGATCCCAACCCTTTGAAGCAAGTAAGTCTGCAACCTGGTTTTTCTCTCTATATATGTGGGAAACCATGTCTCTGTTGAATGAGATGAGATCTCTGATCTATCTAAGAGCGCCTTGGATCTTCCATGGTCTTTCGCCCTTGGTGACGAAGTGAATAGCTACAGTTGAATTTGCCTCAACCAAAATAGCTGATAACCCAATTCATCTGGCCAACAAAATCCCATCCAGTATAGCTCTAAGCTCAACTTCCAAAATCAAACATGGGACATACGATACTGTGAAAATCTTGGGTCTTGCTGGGAGTTATATTTTCGCCCACTCTTCAATCCTACAAAAGCCATTCTTGGCTTGTCCACACTTACAGAAAGAATAGACTTCCTTTTCAACTGGCTTTGATTTGCTGGATATCCTTAGCTTTCTATTGCATTCAGCTTTTAATTTGTCGTCGCTATATATATATGAACTAAACAGCTTGATGAGAGCTAGGTGGGAAGGAGTTTGGCACCTATGAGGCTCGTAGCCTTGTTTTTAAAGTAGCAGGAGTCCATAACGCTATTGAGATGAAGAGCAGCACTTTTGTATGTGATTGTAGTATGTCACGTCGTCTCATCCTTGTTGCATTGGCTAATTCTGATCCAATCCAAAATCAAGTTTATAACCATCGTTCGACTAGTAGATGCCTAAGGCAATCGGATCTCCTATGGGTATGGTTCGTCAAATAGCAAAAGTAATCTTCAAAAAAAATTCGAAATAAAGTGCTGGGAGGAACTATATCAGCTTGACACATCGACATGTAATCGTAGTTAGATGAGCATTATTTAGTTAACCTTGCTAAAATGCCCAATTTTTGCTCTATACGAATAGGGAGGCTTGTGGTCGGACTTATTGAAACCATTCCTTGAATCGGACAATGAAACAAGTTCACCATAGAAGAAAAAGGATGTACAATGATTAAGCAGCTCGAGTTATATGCTTATATGCCCTTACTTTATGACACTGATTACAGCAGATGAAGTGAAGGACAATCGAGTTGTTCGAATTAAAATTGATCCACTAAGGCCCAAAAAATGGGTCTCAAAGAAAGTAAAGGCCATCGAACCTCGGTTCCCTTCAACTCAGAAAGAAACGACAAATCCATGTGAAGCATTGAGATTTAAATTTTTACCAAACAAAGACTTAACGAATGATTGTGTAAAGATGCAATTAATAAAAGTCAAAAACATAAGATGACAATTAACTAATGTTAAGTACCTCTTGTCCAATTAAGTGCCTCGTCGACACAAATTATTTTATTTTATGATTTGTTACAGGTTCATTTTCAATCACATTTTTAAACAATAAAATATTCTACATGTATATAGCAAACTTTTCTATTTTTTAATCATAATTCAATTTTTTTTTCCTACAATAATAATTGTCAAATGAGCTCTAAAAATGGTGTCGATAATTCTCGCCCATTCCCATTTCCCATGATATAGGTTATCTGTGAACAGAAAGTCTTGTCGTTCGATTCTTATCTCGCGCTATATTATCTGCCCCTAAATATTCACCACGACACCATTTTCAGCGCTAAATTTTCTCGCTCCATTCTCCTAGATCTTCTCCATTCACAATGGTAATACTCTTTTCCTTGCACTTTTAATCTGTATCATTATCAGTTAAAAGTGCGTTTATAAATCCTTCTGTAGGAAATTGTTTTATTGATTTTGTTTTTTCACATTTGGTTTTGGTGTTTGATTATACGATTTCGTCCTTTTCTTTGTTTGTGAGATTTTAGATCTGATTTATAATTTTTACCAAACAAAGACTTAATGAATGATTGTGTAAAGATGCAATTAATAAAAGTCAAAAACATAAGATGACAATTAACTAATGTTAAGTACCTCTTGTCCAATTAAGTGCCTCGTCGACACAAATTATTTTATTTTATGATTTGTTACAGGTTCATTTTCAATCACATTTTTAAACAATAAAATATTCTACATGTATATAGCAAACTTTTCTATTTTTTAATCATAATTCAATTTTTTTTTCCTACAATAATAATTGTCAAATGAGCTCTAAAAATGGTGTCGATAATTCTCGCCCATTCCCATTTCCCATGATATAGGTTATCTGTGAACAGAAAGTCTTGTCGTTCGATTCTTATCTCGCGCTATATTATCTGCCCCTAAATATTCACCACGACACCATTTTCAGCGCTAAATTTTCTCGCTCCATTCTCCTAGATCTTCTCCATTCACAATGGTAATACTCTTTTCCTTGCACTTTTAATCTGTATCATTATCAGTTAAAAGTGCGTTTATAAATCCTTCTGTAGGAAATTGTTTTATTGATTTTGTTTTTTCACATTTGGTTTTGGTGTTTGATTATACGATTTCGTCCTTTTCTTTGTTTGTGAGATTTTAGATCTGATTTATGTCCATTTTTGGTTGTTGCTCTCTGAATTTCGCATTAGTTAAAGTTTGTGGAGCCTTATAATTTCTGATTGGTTTCTACTGATTTTTGGGGTATATTGAGATGATTTCACACAACATTAAGATTATCGGATATACCTGCTTGATTTGTAAGGTAAATGATCGGATAATGATATGCAATCTCTGAGGTATTTATTATAGTTAAAATTTAAAGATCAATTTTTATGATTATTTATGTGGGATACAATTTATTGCGATTTGTGTACAATATGTCAGATCTAAGATGTCAGGGAACATTATTGGATTCGTTGATGCAACTGATTTGAGAGATTTTGATTTGCATCCGAATTAAATAGCACTATTTCTTCAAATGACGACCTTTTTTGGCTTATAATGGAACATGATTTCAGTTGGAAGATACTATCATTATCATTATTTACAAAAGAGTGAAGCTATCCAATGGAACTATATTAGAGAACTTTTTTTCATTTAAGCTTCTGCATCGGGTTTTTTGTGTTCCATTTGTGACATACATAACAAATATTTCTAACAGATTGGTTTTATCTATTATTCTTCCTATGCAATAAGAAGATAAATGATTGAAAGGCGTTGCATCTCAGTTATTGCTTAATACGTATCCAAACAAAGAATCTCACATGATTTGGAACTGCTGCAATTTTTATTTTATTGTCTTGTTATAGTGTTCCTGGGATTGCCATGCTGGGTAACTAGATTGGAGCATTGTAATACTTTTTCTTTTTGATTTGTTGCGCGTCAGCTTGTTTGAAATAGGCGTCCCTTAGAAGCTTGTTATTGTCTTTTGTATCAGCTTGTTTACAGCAATGAATTGAATCTTTCTCTTCATCATTGGAACATTTTTTAATGGAAGATCCAGCAATTCTGAAACGGGCCTGCACAATCTCAATTTAGTCATGTTGATACTAGTTAGATCTTGAAGCAATTAGTTTCTACATGCCAAAAGATCCCTCTCTTTTTCTTTGAACAGAGATAGAAATAAATTAAATCTACAATTATAAACAGCTAACAGAAAGTTCTTCAGAGATGGACAATCATCATTACTATAATCCCTGGAGCACTCAAAAAGATTCACTTTTAAGTCTCTGACAAAAATATCCTTCTTAAAAGCTCTAGCATTTCTCCCTTTCAAAATGTTTTTCCTTGTCTTTCCAATTTGTTTCTACCATCCCGATCTTTGAGAGTCCTGAATTCCATAGAACACTATTAATTAATAGCCCATGAATTTGACATGGCTATAATATTTGAATACGTAGGAAATTTTTATATGATTTTATAAATGCAAATTTCATGCAATATGAAACTTGAAGATAGTTGTTAGCTATGATGCACACTCTTATTAGGCCGGTGAAGCACATGTATCTAACAAGCTATGTGCCCTTGTCCCATTTTTTATATATTTTTCAAATTACTAACTCTCAATGGATATTTGAGGGACACCCATCGAGTAAGTGCCTGACATGTCATGTGCCAAGTCCTTTATTAAAAATTATAAAAATAAGGATACAATAAATTAATTCAAACTTTTGTAAAAAATAAATTAACCTGCTCATGTCCAATTTTTTCTAAAAATCACGTGTCCTCATGTTATGTTGTCGTGTCTTGATCATTTCACGTGTCCGTTTTCGTGTAAGTAGAACAAAATTGATTGGGTGATAGAGTAGTGAAAACGGTTCTTTCTTCCATATTTTAGACCTTAGCTACATAAAACAATATGTTACTGCTTGGCAGTAGACCAACCTAATTTTTCTGTATTGCTATTTGCTGTGCTTCACGAGAAATTTAATATACCAACATCTTTGCTTTCAATATTTAATTCTTTGTTGATATTTGATAATAGCTTCACAACAAGTTAATTGTGGCAAAATAAAAAACTTAAAATACTGCAGTACTTTTGGGCATGCATGACGTCATCGCAATCGCTTCTTTAATTTCTAAAAATATGTTTGGTTCTTTAATTTCTAAAAATCTGTTTGGTTGCCTCCCTCACTGTGATGCAATACTAGATTCTGGCTCTAGATTTTGTGGAGTGGACTTACCATTTTACTTGCATTATCTGATGTTTTATTCATTTGGTTTTTATGTTATTAGTTGGCACGCCACATGCATATGTGGATTTTGATAGCAGTTGGGTGTTTAAAGAATTGCTAATTGCCACTACTTGAGCTTTAAGTAGTAGTTATTTTACCTTGAACGAAAACACTAATATTATTTGGAATCATCATTTGCAGCGTTTTTAACTATTTTGTTGTCTGATAAGACTGGCGTTTTTAGACAGTTCCCTTTCCCTCTTGTCCTTAAAAATGAAGTTGCACATTTCGTCAGCCAGATCAAATGGTAGATCTTCTATTCTACTTGCCTGTAGTTCATCTCATTCTTAAGTCCTTGGAATTTATTACCATCAAATCATGGACTGTGCACAACAATTTTTTAGTTCTCAGAGATCCTAACGTCACATGTGTGTGTAGGCTAATGCAGCGTCAGGAATGGCAGTGCATGATGACTGTAAGCTGAAATTTTTGGAATTGAAAGCAAAAAGAACATTTCGTTTTATAGTATTCAAGATCGAGGAGAAGCAAAAACAGGTTATTGTGGAAAAGCTTGGTGAACCAAGTCAAACTTATGAGGACTTTGCTGCTAGCCTTCCTGCTGATGAATGCCGATATGCAGTGTACGATTTTGACTTCGTAACTGAAGAGAATTGCCAAAAGAGCAGGATTTTCTTCATAGCATGGTAAATACATTGCCAAAAGATTTTGTGAAAATGTCAATCGCCACTTTTTTCCATTGTGCTAACTATTGGCGTCTCCATTTTCTATGTACTAAGGTCTCCCGACACTTCAAGAGTGAGGAGCAAAATGATCTACGCGAGCTCCAAGGACAGGTTCAAGAGGGAATTAGACGGCATTCAGGTGGAGCTCCAAGCAACTGATCCAACTGAAATGGGTCTTGATGTTTTCAAAAGTCGTTGCAATTAAATGTTCTTCAGAGTTGCAATTTGCTCGACTTGCGAGATATGTTAACAAATCTTGAAACTGTTCTACACCTAAGCTTTTATATTGGTCTTTTGTTGAAGTTTAACATCGTAGTCCGTTCTTTATCCAGAAAATACATCATTTTGATCGTATTTTATGACTTCTATTGTGGAATTTATGCTGTGAATTTCTGGATGACTGCCGTTCAATTGGTTTCTATGGCTTGGAAATGTGTTCCTGACTGTTCTTATTCCTCTCATTCAACATTGTTGTTCCTTTCACTTCGTACATGATAGTGTAGATGTTGCTATGCATTCGGGCGACCATCCGTGATATTTGTTTAAGTTTGCAGTGATTATATAGGAGAATTTTACCATTAGTCCCCTGCCTATTGCCTTAGTAGCAAATGAGTCCCCATTCTATTTTTTGGGCACTTACATCCCCAATGTATAATTTCTATTGCTCCACAGCCCTTATTGGACAACCATCCAAATGAATCGTGAAAGTTTGCTTTTGATTGACAAGAACCCCGAATTATTCCTCTACCCATTCCACCTTCAAACTCGGTCTCTTCCTCCCCCAACTCAAATTAATCCCCAATTATTTCCTTTCCCGACCAAACAACAACCCAATTTCCTCCAACCCAACTGGTAATCCCCTTCTTCTTTGAAGAAATGACTATCAATATGAACATCTGAATATTGACACGAATAGAAAAAGCTGCAATTCTCCTCCATAAGCAAAAACCCATTAAGACAGCCAACAAAGTTTGAAAAATCTGTGGTAGAATATGGACTAAGAGCATGTTTTGTAGTGCTTTTTCTTCCCAAAAAATCAATTTTGACTGTTATTTCACTATTTCAGCCGCCGTTTTTTACTTCTTCGCTCATAGGTAAGGCCCACTTTTCTCTCAATGGTCAAAAAATCAATTCTCAAAATCACTACCAAACAAATCCTAAATTATCTACTCATTGCAAATACGAAATCTTGAATACAATTGAGAACTTCCTAAAATGCCTTGGGATTGAGATGGGTTGGGGAGGAATAACTGAAGAAACAGGAGGTAGTTGTTTCAATAATCATCCAACTTATATCATGGTTATGGTTTACTCACCAAATTTCAAAATACTTTACAGTGCTCAATGAGCTTTGTCGGTTTGCATTCCATCCATCATCTTCAAAAATTCGTCACCTTATTTACTGACGTGGCAAGTTATAGCTGTTGAAAAAATTACAACTTAGCCAAAACATCGTTTTATTACTCATTCAACTTACACTGGGTCACAGTTTAGTCATCGAACTTTAAAATACTTTCTAACGATCACTAATCTTTGAGATATCATACTCCATCCATTATCCATCACATTTCATTCATTTCGTTGCTAATTTATTGTATGAAAATTCCACGGGTAAGTACAATCTTAAAAAAAAAAAAAAAATTACAAATCAACCAAACCATCAACTCACAAAAATCACCATATGTGAAATGCGACTTCCACGCCCCCATAAACTTCTTTAAAATTCAATAAGGTGTCTCCAACCTCAGCCCTAAAAACCCCTAGTGATAACTGCATTATATTACACTTATTTAGGATTTTAAAGTAAAGAATTTGTAGGATATTTAATGAATTATGGCTTGATTCTATATATTTTGTGTTTATTAGGTAAATATCGATGAAATTGATAGAATTGAAGACAAAGAACAAGAAAACGGTGAAATATAGACAAAGTATGATCAATACAAAATGATGATTGAAGATCACATGATCTATTGGATGTAATTAGAATTTAAGGTGGTGAAATATAGACAAAGCATATTCACAAATCAATTTCAAATCGAACAAGTTATGCTTCAGATTTCCAGCTTTAAATTAAAACATATTTTTCTCACTGTAAACGTTCCAATTGGAAAAGTGATATTTCTTAAGGAATCATTAGGGATGCTTCATTGGCTTTTAAAAGGTTTATGAGGCCGTGGAAGTCATGTTTTACATATGATGATTTTTGTGAGTTGATAATTTTGTTGAGTTATAATTTTTTTAACATTTATAACTTATCACGTGGAATTTCTATATGAACATTAGTTACAAAAGGAACATAAGTGTAAGATGGATGAGTAATAAAATAATGGTTTGGTTGAATTGTAATTTTCTAACGGTTATAACTTGCCAAGTCAAATTTTCGTTAGTCACATTAGCAAATAAGGTAACGGATTTTTTTGGGTGATGGATGGAATGCAAAACGGATAAAGTTAAGTGAACATTGTGAAACATTTTGAAATCTAGTGAGTAAACCACGATCATGGTATAAGTTGAATGATTATTGAAACAATTAATTCAAGAAACAGGGATTGGAGATGGATTGGGAAAGAAAATTTTCGAGGTGCGGAAAAAGTAATATAGTCAATTGGGTGAGATCGCGAGCAAACAGTACAATTAAGCCATAAGAAATCCTTTCAAGATCTTTGTCCGGAAGCGAAGCAGAACTAATCTCAGCGGAGGCGCTCTAGATATTGAAATGAAGAAGGCTCCGGCTATAATTTTATTTATTTATTGTTTTTATTTCAGTTTTATTTTGGTTTTCTTTATGTTTTTTATTTTTTAAATTAAAAATAGGGATACAATGGCCCTTTTGATGAAAAACAGGACACTTCAACAGTCGTTCGGTCTGTTTGTCTCGAATGAGGACATAGATGCAACATAAATGATACTTTAGGGACATAATGCAAAAAATTAGAATGTGTTGCTCGTTTGCTACTAAGACAAAATATATCAGGGACTAATGCTGCAATTTCCCCTAATAAATATAATAGAACGTATAATCTTTTCACTTACAAAATTGGTATGCTCTATTGCTCTTTGCTATAACGCCTGTGAACTAATGTTCATAAAAAATAAGCAATGTCGACAGTGTCAATTTCTTTACAGAAGAACTTCAAGGAATAAATACAATAAACACCTGTCTATAGATTACAAACCCATCAAGAAGTGATGGAAGTCAATAGTGTAAAAACCTTTTCAGCATTCTCCTCAGAGGATACTGAAATTAAGTAGTCCAATGTTATCCTCTGTCAATCTTGTCTACTTCTGCACAACTGGATTAATGTAAGAGTACGATTAATGTCAAAGACAATATCTAACAATCGTTTGGTGGTCCTCGATAAACTCATGACCTTAAACCTTTAGAATTCGACTCAGGATCTTTAGTGAGATCACCCACCAGTGAAGTTCAAAATGAAAGTGCCATTCGCTTATCCAAGTCGTGGCACAGAGGGACCCAGCCAAGAAGACTAAACAACCTATTGACACCTAAATGCTAAACCCCTTGGCAAGATTCGTCAATAGTCTTCAGCTCAGCAACTGTCTTCAACTCTTGGCATAGACTCGACGGCAACTTACTTAGGTCAAGCACTCATCCGGGCCTCCTTCAAGACGTGTCAGCTCAACAATCCCAATATGCCTCCTTCAGAAATTTGGGCACAGTAACATTCTATGGCGACTAAGTGAGGCAGAGCGTCACAGGTTATGGCTTGTTAATCCTTGCTCCCTCTCCTCCTAGTTACTGTCCAATCACTTCTCTTCACAAATTTTCCATCTTACTTGGGCATCAGAGTGCTTCTAGTCACCACCCTACCCTCTCCAGTGCCCAAGCATTCTACCTTGTTGCAGGGTGTGCACGTTCAACAAAGGTTTCTGGCTCAGTCTATTGACTGAATATCCTAGCCAGATTCAGATGTCAACGGAAACTATGCTTCTTGTGATACGTGCATCATATAGATAGATGGTATTTCACCAGATGTTAGCTACTTGTAGGACTGACTGGTCCTGTCAAGCAAGTCCGGTGAGTAAGGCAAGCATAGGTTGCTCGAGTTAGCTTCAGACCTCGACTATTCATATCCTCGTGCAATTTAAAAGCCTTGTTCAGTTCTCCGGCAACACAACATCTATATATTAATAAATTATAAGCCACGGCATCAGGCTTCAGGTCCTGGGTCAGCATGGATTCCCATAGTCGGAAGGCTCCTTGCAAGTCACCCTTCCGACAACATTCATAGATAATGGTCGAGTAGCTTATACAATCTGGAAAGATACCATTATCGGTCATTTCGACTAGGACCCGAGCAGCTTCCTGAATTTGGCCAAACCTGCAAAAACCTCGAATTAGCATATTGTATGTGATGGTGTTTGCAAGAAACCCTGTAAGCATTGCCTTGTGCAGCTGCATAGCTTCCTCCATATTCCCTCCTTTAGTAAGATGATCAAGAAAGCACCCATATGTGATCTCGTTAGGTACTAAGCCACTAATCAACATTTCTTTACAAAGAATCTCTGCTTTTTCAACCATACCAGCCTTGCATAAGCCATTTATCATCACAGTGTAAGTCACAACACTTGGGATGCACCCTTCACTTACCATTATATCCCAGTGGCTGATCGCCATTTCAAGATTTCCAGCTTTTCCATACATATCAATCATGTTAGTATACATCACACTATCAGGCTTCAATCCCTGCTTGAGCATCTCCTTAAAAATTGATATTAACAGTTTCGTATCGTTCTGTTTGAGAATCCCGTGAACAAGTATAGCATAACATATAAGATCCATGGCGATACCTCTTTTGACCATCTCACCACAAGCACTCAATGCATCCTTCAATCTTCCTTCCTTGCAATAACCGTGTAATAGTGCAGAATAGCACAACTCATTTATCTCATGATGCTTTTTTAGAAGGTCATCCACAAATGCTTTAGCTTCGGATGCTCTGCCTGTAGAACAAAGACCGGTTATTAGAGGCCTGTAGGTATAGGTATCTGGTACAAGACCTTTCTTCACCATCTCATCAAGCAACTGAAAGGCCCTTGCCACGTTGCCTTCATTACAGCTCCCTTCAATCAAAACATTATAGGTAAACTCATTTGGAATAATTTTCATTGCAACCATTTCATTGAATAATAGACCAGCTTCAGCCATCATGTTTGCACAACAAAAACCAGATATAAGTGCCGTGAAAGTATGAACATTTGGTGAAATCCCCTTTCCTGTCATTTCACGATATAGCCTTAATGCCTTGTTCACTTCTCCTTTCTTACAGTAACCATCTATCAATGATGTATACGTTACCACAGTGGGAGTCAATCCCTTATCATTCATCTTAACAAATAGAGACTCTGCTGCATTCAATTTTCCCAACTTGCATTGCCCACTAATCAATATATTGTAGGTATAAACAGTTGGTTTTATTCCAACACCGAGCATTTTATCAAAAACGCTGATGGCTTCATCCATTTTCCCCCTTTTGCAAAACGAATCAATAATAATGTTGTAAGTTATATCATTTACGAGCAACCCCATCTCATCCATCTTCCCAAACAAAGAATTTGCTTCATCCAGTTTCCCATCTTTACACAAGGAATGAATCATGGCATTGCAAACAAATAAATTAGGCATTGTACCAAATCTCCTCACCTTATCGACCAAAACATAAGCACTACGAGCATCCCCTTTTTTTCTCAACCCGTCAACTACATTTGAAATAGCCTCCTCACTTGGAACAAGCCCCAAATCCAGCATTTCCTCAACCAACTCTCGAGCAATCCCAAACTCCTCCACTCTACAGAGTCCAAGAAGCAGCGTGCAATATGTAACAACATCAGCTCTTAAACCCTTGAACTCCAGTGTTTTCTTAATATCAACAGCCTCAAAAACTCTCCCACCTTTACACAATCCATGAATCAACACATTATATATAACCACATTCAATTTGCAGTTCTTTTCGACCCAATTCATCACTTCCATCGCCCTATCGTATTCCTTCAATTCACACAAACTCCTAACCAGAGCAGTGTATACATAAACATCCGGCTGAAGTCCTGAACCCGAAAACAGCTCGTCAAACAGACTTATAACCATGTTGAATTGCCTTACCTTAACCAACCGATGTAACACCGCACTAAAAGTCCTCACCTCTGGGAACACATTACACCCTTTCATTAATTTCACAATCAACACAGAATCTAACACTCTTCTATTCTGAACATAGCTTTGAATCAACAAATCAAACCCATAAGCAGAACAAAAATTGAATCTTTTATAAGAGTCAAACAAGTTTTCAAAAATGGAACTGGGATCCTCCTTTCTTTGCAAAAGGGTCTGCAAAAGCGATGAGGCAGGCCAGTAAAAATTGGACTGGACAAGCGAGTGAACCATTATGCAAAACGACATCGTAGAATGGTGGAAGTCCCTATGCAGACCAAGAAAATTGAAAAAGCGAAGGGCTAACCTTGAATCGTGCTGATTTTGGATGATAAATCTTTCGATATGGCGGGAGTTGAGGCTGGTGGATATAAAGGGGTTATTGAGGGCCAAATTCCAGCTCTGCTTGCTCCGCACGATGTCGTTCAGCATTGCTACGAAGTTATCGTCATTATCTTTTGGGAAGTGGTGGTGGTGGGGCGGTGGAGAGGCGGCGGTAGTGGTAGAGGACGGTGCTGTGGAGGTGAGTCGGAGTTTTGAGGTGGACTTTGGGAGCCGAATGAGGGGCGTCATCTGGGTGCAAGGAATTTGGACTCCAACCCACTACCATGGGTTCATTTATCTTCGGAGCCATTGGTGAGACGTTGGGTACTTTATCGAGACTCGAGAGTAGTGTGGCTTGATTCGGCTAACTAATTATTAGGGTATGTTTGATTGCAAAGAGGAAATTGAATTGAGTTGAAAATGAATTTTAGGGAATTAAATTATCTAGAAATTATTTTCTTGATAATTGTAAATTATTGTGTTTGATTAGGATAATTTTTCATGGGAAAAATATTGAAATAAAAGTATTTTTTGATCTCCGTTTGGCTTTGTTTTACATAAAAATTGTCAATTAAAGAGATAGATTTTATTGGTATTGAGAATGAAATTTGTTTCTATTGCCAACAAAAAAAAAATTTCAAGAAAATTATCTATTTTTTGATATTCGTTTGACTTTATTTTACATGAAAATTGTCATTTTAAGGGAAATATTTTTTTTTACAATAATTCTTAGAATTTGTATCCATTGCCAGCAACCAAAAAAAAAAAAGAAAAAGAAAATCGAAAAAAAAGTGCTACAGTAACCCAGAATTCTAATTCTAACCATTTGAAAATGGAATTCTAGGAAAACATGGAAATTAGCTTAGGTGGCATAAAATGTGGAATTCGAATTCTAGATAAAATTTTGCCAATCAAACAACAAAAAATTGAAAAGATGGAATTTGATTTTCATTTTCCATGAAATTGGGGTGCAATCAAACATAGCCTTGTTGTTTTATTAAAAAAATAGAAAATTAAGGTTGGTGTTTCAACCTTTTATCCAGTAAAAATAGATTTACTTTCTTTTTCATCATCTCATCCCAAGTCATAGATTATTTTCCTTATTCAGATTAAAGATGATTTATTTTTTTTATTTTCTAATTTGTCCTTTTTCTAATGTGTCCTTGTTAACATATATGAACTACTCGTATTTAAACCATTATTTATTGTAGGAGTATATTAAGAAAAAATGAAACAAAAAATTGTATTTTCAACTATATTATTCTTAACTAAATTAATTATATTTTCTTATTCAGTGTGAAAATAATAATGAGTCTATCGTTATGTGACGGAAAAAGTATTTAAAAAGTAAATTCTTTCATTCGGAACCTATTAAATTTCTTTAAGGCTTATTGGCGCAATATCTCCAATGTATGGACATATTGCCAAATCCTATATGAACTTTGAAGTATAGAGGAACCCATTTTTTTTCTATTTTCTCAATAAATCTTTGTGAAATGATGAATATACGCTACTATTTAAATAAAACGAAAAGGAAATAAGAAAAAAATAAAAAACTAATTTCAATTATAGTCCCAAAATTTTGAAAAATACAATTGAGTCCCAAATAAATAACTAAAAAAAACTCTTCTTTCAAATTCAACGTCTTCCCCCATCACCAAATTCAAAAAGGATTTTTCTTTATTTGGTGGTGAAGATTTTTCTTCAACAATGATATTTTTGCTTTATTTAACTAAAACAATGATCATCTTCACAAGGATTTATTGAGAACATATAATAAAATGAGTCTTCTACACTTATGAACTAGTTCATATAGGGGGTTTTCACCAATTTGAAAATGTTGATGTATTGACAATAGGTCCATATGTTGGGAGTATAGTACGAACAAGTCTTTCATTAATCAGTGTGAAAATAGAAATAAATCTATCTTCTTAGGACGAAGTGAATATTTCAATAGTAAAACATTTTCATTTTAGCCTATTTAAATATACCTATAGTAAGCATGTGCTTTACACATCTTATGTGTCGGATGAATTAAATGCGTACTGCTTTTTGAAAGTTGTCGAGGTAATTGATATTATTAAAGAAAAAAATTAAAATTATTAAATTAAGTATGTGGAGATTCAGATTTATGTTGAGTTTAAAAAATTGAGATTGAGAATCATATGAACAAACATTTGGCGGATTGAGCCATTGATTTTCAATTTTCAAAATACAAGGAATCATACTAGAGGATTTTGGCCAAATCTAAAATATAGTGTAAATTTTGCTTAACAATATAACATTTGTTCGAATTTGAGAGTTCTTGAACACACCAAAATAATAAATAAAACAGGTCTGATCTTTGCTTAAGGCTGTTGCGTCAAGGGTTCGAATCCTGAAATATGGATTTGGCTCTTGGGTAAGTGCAAGTGTACAAACAGCCTTCCACCCTGTATCTTTGGAGGCATAACCTGCGATTTACCTCTCTCACGATACTCCAGGACAGGGGTGGTGGAGGACCCTTAAGGTTAGGGTTTAACCTTTAAAACAGGTCAGATCTTCTGCCCACAAGTGATCCATTTCAATAAATAAAAAGCTTGACTTCATTTTTTCAAAAAAGATAAACTTTTTAGAACAAATAACTCCATATTCAGATTCTAATGATTAAAAAAAGAAAAAAGATAAAGAAAAATCGCTTCATATTTCACAAAAATATATCGCTATGTTATCTCCCATTGGCGCTAAATAATATTATTTCATTTAACTCATACTTGAATGTGATTGTTCAAACGTCGAGAAATGATGAAAATGAGATTTTTTTTTTTTTTTTGTGCAAATTGTTATTATCTTATGGATAGCATAACTTCTCTTGAAGGATGGATGGTTGCTCTCAAAAGTTTGCACCAACCGAAAAGTATTAAGAAATCTTGACCACACAAAGAAGTGGCAATTTTTACAAAATGACATGTGTGACATTTTGCATCTAAAAGTTACAAATTTTGCAAGGCTAAATATATTTGCACAACAGTTTTTAATAACCGAACTACATTTTAATTGTATGAATTATGTATCAAACTTTTTTTCATCTTATTCTTATTCTTAAATTAACATAAATTGTTCTTAATCATGGTTTTTCTGCAAAATTTTCCTTAAAATAGAGTAAAAAGACTCATTAGTTCATTGCGCCCTTGTTTAGACATCGTTATTTGATATTATAATTTACACACACACACACACACACATTTATTAAAAATGTGTGGATAAAAAGACGAAAAAGTTTTGGGCTTATATGTAATATTATTTTATTAGAGAATGTATGGTTGATAAGATGAAAAAAAAGGATTATAATTTTAAGCTTCATTGGCCCTCCATTGTTTGGTATTATAATTTTTGGAATAGTATTTTTTTGGAGACTGTTTAGTTTAAAAAGATGGAGAAATTTTTTATTTACGTATAATATTATTTTATGAAAGATTATGTTGTTAAAAATAAGAGAGATAAATTGTAATGTGAAATAATGGAGGCCAAACGGGAGCATAATGAGGCCAAATGGGGGCTATATTTTAAATATCTAAAACAAATAAGAATGCAAAATGAGATTAAAAATATTTGAACTCCATTTCAAAGCATGGTAACAATATTTTAAAATGAAAATCATGATTAACGATAGAAATTTTTTATCAATAAATTGTTAAAAATAAGAATGTGATAAAGAAAAAAATTAAAAATATAAGTGTAATGATAAATAAAGATTAACGACCTTTAATATAATTAAAATATAATATATTCATTATAAAATGTTGTGTCAATATAATCACCATTTTTATAAACGTTTTCAAAATAGTTACATTCCAAATCCGTCCCTCAAATTGAACCACGTTTCCCTTGAAAACATTGAAAAATGAAAAAGAAAAAAAGCCCTGGCCTCGTTCTAAACATTGAAAAATGAAATGGAAAAATGCACCGTCCTAGCCACCGCCACGATTTCTTTGTTTAATTCTTATTTTGTCCGTTTGACCCATTAAATTTCATTTTATTTTTTTCTCTCTTTCATAAAATAAATTTTCATGTAAATCGAAAATTTTTCCTTCTTTTTAATTACTTTTTTAAAAAAAATACTATTAAACCCATTTTTATTTCAAAAGATGGGGGTCAAACAAGAGCTTAAAATAGATAATCAAAAAGTCCACCATTGAATTTAACTTACTTTTGAACAAACTTATTCAAAAGAACTTTTAAGCGTTTTCAAAATTGAAGATCGAGAAGTCAGATATTAGAAGAGAATTTTGTAGATCCATATATTTTCATATACTATCGTTGCGGAGTATAATCCTTATTTTCTATTTTAATTAAGTCTTAAATTGTTTTCAGTTCAAGTTTAATTTGATCAAATTGATCTAAATTTTACTCGAGTCTGTTATTCTATAGTAGTGCTATTTCTGCTGTTCTAGAGAAAACGAATTGAAACTCAACAATGTCCTTCTGAATTATTGTGAGCTTACTATCTTTCTCTTCCTGTGATTTTAACAATCAAATCTATAAAAAACTCAATAAAGAGAAATGCAAAAGACATATAAAATTGAACTATGTTATTCTGTAATAGTTAAGATTGAACATATCATTAATTGAATTAATGATAGTTTTGTAAATATTAAAAAAAATTAATCATGGTACGAAACTCAAAAATTGAATGGAACCGAATTGAACCGAATATAATCGAACTCGAACAATTCTATAATTAAATTTAGACCCGACAGTTCCATTTACTAAACCCTTGTTTGAGCCCCATTTCGGAGAAAATACATTTTTGAATAGTGTATTGATGGAAAATGTGTGATTAAAAAATATTAAAAAAATTAGATTTGCGTATAATATTATTTTATTGAATAATATGTGATTAGAATGATGTCAATACATTGTTTAAGAATATATTTTTTCCTCCAAAGAATGAGGTTCAAACAAGGGCTAAATACCTGAAAATTTCAAGCCTGGACCATGCCTGTCCTACTATTTCTTATTCCATATTTCATACTAAGCCCTATTTGGTATAATTAAATTTAATTTTGACAAAGATTATGAAATATTGGTTGAAAAGTTGATAAAAATGGTGAATTTCACAAAGTGCGTGATTAAAATTATTTGATTTCAACTTAACTTTTATCAAAATTTTATGCTACACCAAATAAGAACTAAATAAATTTAGGAAAATTGCAGCAGCGATCCTAACATTTTCCGTTTTTACAAACTTTACCATACCATTCATTTTGTACCAGCGAAAGTTCCCAATATCTCATAAATATGCACTTGAGGCCCATCTGAATAGAAACTATTTAAAATACTGTCAGTTGATTGGGAAAATTCCTTGAACTACATGCTATCATGACGGTTAATTGGTTGTTGATACCTTTTTGGACCGTGTTCTGAATGATTTTTTTCGATGTTGATCCCTTAATTTTTTCAGTCAACTAATTGTGTTTTGGATGATTTTCATCTAGATGAATCTCAAGTGTATATTTGTGAAAGTTTAGGAACCTCTGCTGGTACAAAATGAAGGGTAAGGTAAAGTTCGCAAAAAAATGAAAAAATTAGGGATTGCTATTACAATTTTCCCATAAATTTATGCATATACACGTTAAACACGTTTGCACGAGCTCGTCCACAGGATAGCGACTCTTGTTTGGTGCCAAGGGGTATATCCAAATGCATCCTTACCTTTGATCCACATGTCTTTGAGCGTTGATAAAATATGGGTTATGGAATATTGTTCCTAAATGGGCGTGTTATGTGCTCCATTCACAATGGATGTCATGGGGACCACAAATTAACTCTTAATTTATAGAAATTTTAAATGAAAAATTTTCTCAATTCATTCTAAAAGGTTGAATCCCAACCTTAAGGACCCCATCGTTCCGTTCCTGGAACATCGTAAGGAAGGTAAATTACGAAATGTGCTCTAGCAGGTCAGGGAACAAAAGCTTACCCGTACACTGATACCCACAAAGAGTTTAATTCTATATATCAGAAATCGAACCATTACACTGCGACTGTCAACAAGATCAAGACTACCTCACTCCTATCATTTGCACCATTGGGTTATGCCCCGGGGGGCTTTCTCAATTCATTCTAGAAATTACATAAAGAATATTCGTATACTCTTTACACATAATAGTTAGATGCACTAGAATAAATATTACTTCTATTTTGGTGGAGATTAAAATAAGATTTTTATTAAATTTTGATAGAATTTGATAAACTGTTTAGTTAAAATTAATTGTTGAATTTGTTCTGAATTAAAATCTGAATTTTAATTTTCATCAAACTAAGGCACTATAAGATTTACGGTATAATTACTAGATTACTGAATGATAGAATATGTTAATATGAATACAACGGAAACAAGATAGAATTAATAATTGATGAATGAGAACGTGAATAACGAATAGAAACTTAAAATAATTAACATAATTGGTGTCGTGGTCACACCAAAATTCGATGACTCTAATGTGATAGACAAAGGGTTGATCATTAATGAAAGATAGGAGAAACCTACAAAAAAAGGGGCAGGGGGATGTTCTCGACCCATTTTGATAAAGGATTTTTCTATTTGTATATCGAGGATTGTGGGCCCCCTCTTGTGAGGGGGTTGGTAGGCACCCTGGTGTATATATAGACAATGGACCAAACATAACTCCTCGGACATAGTTTAGTGGTGCAAAGGATAGGAGTGTGGTTATCTCACGCTTTGCTAGCAGTCGTAGTGTGGGAGTCGATTCCTGAAACATGGAATTGGACTTCTTGTAGGCGTAGTGTTCATGCAGCTCTTGTTCTCTGGCCTGCTGGACACATTTCGCGATTTACCTCCCTCACAAAATTCTGAGGACGGGACGGTAGGAGCCATCAAGGTTGAGGTTCAACCGTTTTAGACAATGGACCAAACACACCTTTTGATAAAATAGGTAATTTAAAAGTTTGACAGTTGATTATAGACAGACACAAGAAAATGGACCTAACAAGCCTTCCCTTACGGCCATTGTCGTTAAAAAATGGAGGACGAAATCATCCACCTCCTGCCACGACCGTTGCTTCCCAATCACGCCACCTTGCAAAATAATTGCTTATTTTAATCACGCTTCCCAATAATTTTTACTCACTTTTGCGTGTACTCATTCAACGCCCCGCCCAGAAAATAATTTCTGTCGGTAAAGAACAGTATTACTCTCAGATTTGACATTCTTGCTGTAATTCTTGTCTTAAAAGGGAAATTTTCGCCGCCCAGAAAATATATAGGAATAATAAGAAAAGGGCAGTTATTTTTCGTTTCAAATGGTCCATGTACGTATCGGGATTTTCGGAGATTGATTTTTAATCAGAAGAATGCCACCGGCGTCGACGGCTCGTAGCTCGGCTTATCTCACGGCTCTCACTCAAGAAATTGAGAAGAAGCTTCAACGTGTATGTAATTACTATCTGATTATGTATTTGTGCAGTATATAGACAGATTAATAAATTTTATTTATTGATTTTTATTTTGAAATCATGGTGTAGGCATTAGCTTCGTCATCGCAGAGGCGCAATTTGTTGCAGGAGTTATTCGCGGATATAGCTCTGGAAGTTGATGATCGTGCAAGAGGTAAATCAAGAAACAATTCATTTATTCGTTAATTTTGTTCAATGCATGAACTTGTTAGTAATAATTGTTGAGGAAAAAAATGAATTAAAAAGGAACTGTCTTAGCTGAATAGTGAAAACTATTAACTATCGGAGTAATTCGTGTGAGTTGTTCTTTCCCAGTTGTAGCGTTTGCACAGGAGCTCTAATGGTACTAAATTGATTGTGTTGCTTTTCGGGATGTACTTTTACTGCTGCAGTGTGATTTAGGAACACATGGGCAAGATCATTTATTGGTGCTCTTTTTATACTTCAAGAAGGGCTTATAAAAGAGGCACTAATTTTCATTTCCCACAACCGGATATAGATAGTTAATTCATAGATAATGGGCTGTCTCCTATTGATTTCGAGAAGATGTTCTCTAAGGAGATTCCTGTTCCTTCATGATTCCATATTTGAGTCGAAGGAGCTCCGCCCAAATTTATAACTCCGTACTGATGTATGTCTTGCATGTTTTCAACTTAACAACAAAAGGTCTGAAAGCTTGCCCATTTGCGTTGTTTGGGTTTAGAATGATGAAGGCGGAGATGCTGACAACTGACTGCCTCTATTTCAAACTAAATTTGAACTCAATGTATAGGTACGAGTTATTACAATGTTACTACTTCCTGTCAATGAGTTCAGAACACAACTTTTGCGCATCATTTTCAAATTGTTAACAGTATGATAGTGACTACCCATGTTCCTTACATCTGAGTGTGGGCGTAGAGTCTCCTTAACTCTTTCTTTTTTCTTTTTTCCTCTGTTGGTTCAAAGGGAAATGGGGAAAAGATAATTTATGGCACATATTACCTTTTAAGGAACACGCTTCCTTTAAGAATTAAATTACTTTTCCACGTTTCACAATGTTTTCGAGACAAAAAGATTTCTTTTACACTTATCCAGAATTTCTGAGAGTTAATCCTATTTCCCTGTTTTTTGTTCTCTTATTTTTTCTTTTGAGTTTCACGAGCATATAATTGTATCTACTTTCATGTTGTTGAAATCGATGTGTGCATATCACAGTTTAAGGTGTTTATTCGTTGTTTAATTTTAAAGAACCACTGCATTGACAGCATAGTCAGATATAAGATTGTCAAGGCTCAAGGTGTTCTATCATCGTAGTGGTGACTGAAATTATTAACTTCAAATTTGAAGGGCCAGTAGAATTGATAGGGTGGCTAGCTAATATCAATTCATTTCCCTGGACCTGGAGTGAGTATGAGAACTTTTGACGTCTAAGGAGGTCCCTGTCAAGCCTAAATGTGTCTTCTATGTTTTATTTTATTTAATTCCCTCTTGGTCTTTCTTCGTCAAAGACTTTTATCCTACTGCCGTCATTGGATTACCCATTGTTTTCTAGTCTTCATAAAGGAAACTAGCAATAAAAGCTAAAGAGATAAAAGTACAAATGATCTTTAAACTTAGAGAATGTACTTTTGAATACCTCAGAATTTCGATGCAGGTAACTAAGAATTAATGTATATATAGATGTTGATAGTGCGAAATGGGTGACAGTTCTAGAATATCTGTCTGAAGTTAATTATCCCTTGTCATTTAGTGGTTAGTCTTATCTTTTAATGTATCTAATTCCTTTTGTTTAAGAGGCGATTCTGTGATTCTTGCCGTCAATGCTTTTGGTGGGTATTGGCTCAATCTTGTATTTGAGGAGAAATATATTTATGTATATTTGTATAACCAAATCAAGTAGTGTGTCTGTGTGTGTAGCAGTTACACCCTAATTAAGGAAAACTATATAATATTGTCGATCCCCATGAATCAGGGATCAACCTAACTAATTATATTCAGAAATTAGGACAATGCTACAATTAGAAAATTACTCTAATTTTTTTCACATTTCTACAGTTGTAATCTTTTGGAATATCAGAGTATCTTACAGATTCTCTGTCAGTATTGTCTGATTCTCTGCTGTTTTCTTCATTTAATTGAAACAGAGATCATATTTGGTGGGGAAGATACAATCTCTGTGGCAGAGGATGCGAATCAGAGCCCAATATGCTTCTACAACGTGCTTGCCGATCATTTTGTTCAAACGCCACAGATTGTAAAATCAATTCTTGATCTGATTGTGCAACTTTGGAGCCAGTTATTTGCATCTAATATATTTTCCCTCTTGTTCCACAAGTGGGTACGTATTATTTATGCCTATGTGAACTTTCCTATTTTTAACTGTTTATGGTGTAGTAGTACTGCTAAAGTCCTGATGGAGAACATTCATTTTTTAAATTGCATTTGTATCTCCTGTCCAATTTGATTTATGTAATTTCATCTTTCTTGCTGCTGGCTACCTTTAAATGCAAAATTGAGCACTCTTCTTTCATTTCTTTGATTCCATAACTTATTCTTCCAGTTATTCGAAGTTCAGCTTGATAACCCTGAAGCCCTCCTTCGTTACTCCTCTGCTCTCGTCCAAGGTGCTAGGAATGTCTTCTGGTAAGAAGCTTATCAATTCCATGTAACTTAAAAGTAGTTGGCTGACATGATGCTACATAGGCTGGAAAAGAGAAGTGGGGTTTAGGTGTTCAATATTCCATCTTAGGAACTTCATATGTTTAGTCAATTAGACACCTCCCTTTTTCTCCATTTTTCTTCTTCCAAGTTAGGAGATGGAATGCTTCTCAATTGGATAACTGCTTACATGCAGGATTGACATCCAAACAAATGCAAGGCGTTTCCAGAGTCTCTTTCAGGTGAGCTGTTTTTTTAAAGACGCAATATGTTGCATCTCATTTTGTGTAAATCCTCAATATTTTGAATGATGACAGTATCTTCTAGGAGATGTTGCTCTAGTTTCTGAGCGATTAAAGAAGATCCCCCTACAGGTCTGTCATTTATCTGGACAATAATCTGTTGATCCCTTGTAGGCTATGGACTCTAAGCTGTTAATATTTTGTCATTGTGATTCATTACTAACTTGAGTTCTTCTCATCATCCATCAGGCTCAGCAAGACCTGTTTCTTCTTCTCTCAAGTTTCATGTTTTTCTATAACTCAGGTTTGTGAACTCCACAGCCTTAAGCTTTTGATTATCTCTTCAATAGTCATTCTAACAAACTGCTGATGTTTTCTCACAGTTGACGAACTTGAAAGCTTTTTAAAGCAATTTCCTGATTATCCAAATGCTTTCTTGATTGGGGGTCCAGAAGACTTTTTTGTTACTGAATTAGCTGATCAGGTGGCCAACAAGATACCTTTTGAATAGTTCTTCTGTTCCATGCATTTGATTATGATCCTTGCTTGTTATTCCTTTAAATAACTTTTACCCTTCTGTCAGTTAAATTGATCTATAATTATATTGTTCAGATTCAAAAATTGAAGGTGGAGCCGGTGCTTTTGCATTATCTTTCACAAATTAAAGCACTCCAGGGTACTGCTAATCTATTGTTGCCGATGCCATGCGTCGAACAATTTTAAGAATTTTCGACCTTTTTGATGTCAATAAGCTGGAGGTTAATCTTCTTTATATTCTTGACAGGCCTAGAACTTAGAATGACAACAAGTACAAGACTGAAAACATGTCTGTATAGCTTCACGTCTCCAGGTGGCCCAATGTATCCAACAAGAGCTGTTCGCCATGCAGCATGGGAAGCGTTAGATTTTCTATTTCCCGTGAGTTGTTAAATTTCGAAGAAACCATTTTTTTTAGCTAGTTATAACTTGCAGAATCCTTGCGTACACGAGTTCTTTCTCATTTATGCTGCACTTTGAACCCTGGAGATGAGCTAACATCACCACTGACCTTTAATTCTGTAAAAGCCAAAGATGGAAGGCAAGTAGGGTTGCACATCTGCCTCACAAATTTCGATTATTATAAAAGAGAGATTTTAAAAATTAAGAAGATACAGAATATTGCTGGAAAATTATTAGGAAATACATAGTAAATGAAACACAACAATGTCCATAAAAAAAAGTTCTAAACATCTGCTAGGCAAATGAGAGTACAGATACTGATTACCATTTGAATGGATGCTCGGAATTTTGAAGGCATTGTTTCATATTTATGATTGCATTGACATGGCTTAGTTCTCGCTATGATATGACACGGATGCTGTGTTCCAGGTTGGGAGATATCCTCGGCATCTTATAAGTCTCTTCTTCAGATTGCTTTATCCGTGGTACTGGCCCTCGTCTTGTTGGAACTTTGTACTGTCTTGTTTACAAGCTGTACTGTATTCTCTGTTTGGATTCATTTTTTCTGGTTTGGAGAAATTGAGAAAACCGAAGCACTCGTAGACTTCACGTGTTGTACGGTATTGTTAGGAAATCTGTGCAAGAGATTTTTATCTTTTGTTAACATGATTTGGTTTGTAACTGTTGTATTCCGTACAGAATGTTCTTGTATTAGTGGAGTAAAAAATGCTGAAGTTGTGCTTCGAACTTTTGAATTGGAGTCGGGTTTTCTAATCTAAACCTCCTGAATGCCTCTCATTTGCTATTTGGGGAACACTTGTACGTGTTTGGTAAGTTGAATTAGATGGTAATGAACAATAATAAATATGAAAATAAAGTTCAAGTCCTATCAGTTATACTGTAGAATTTTATCTATTGTTGTGTACTAAACATGCTCTTGAACAATAAAGGATTATGGAGATAACACGATCGTACTGATGTCTACATCCTCCCTTGGTCAGGCCATGAGCAAACTGGAAGCATAACCAGTCTCACTGAGACAGGAAGGACACCTGGTTAACTCAACACCAGCCAACTGAACACGGTTAAATCACTGACTCGATGATCTAGTGTTTTGGCTAAATCAATGATCGGACTACTCTCAATTTTCCGATTACTCCAAAAGGAAATTTAAATATCTAGTAGCCGGAATTTCATCATTTGCCAGCCTTACCCCAGAAATCATACAAGAGGGATAAAAACCTTCGCTTAAAGTCACTACCCAGAAGGAAGAGGAAGATCTAATTTGTCCAATTGACCTCATCGTGTCCTTTCCTTCTTTTTAACGTGCATAACCTATTTTATCAAGGAGAGAGAGTTGAGGGAATTCGATTCCTTCAAGGGATAGATCTATAGGAATTCACGTATCTCAATAACCAAAAAACATTATTTGAATAATCCCATATTAAGTGTTAAATTGGCTAAAGGTACGAATCATAATTATTTAGGAGATGCATGACCCAACGATCATTATGTATTTTTTTAAGGACCGAGCTCCATGTACAGGAGCTCGGTTCACAAGGGGCTGCCAGGCCCCTCACCGTAGGGGTCGGACCTCACAAGCATTAAAAAAAAAAAAAAAAAAAAGGGACCCGCCCTCACCTCCTCTCTCACCTGGCATGGGCTTGTGAAGCAGGCCCCTATACTCCCATCTTTTTCCTTTTTGTACTATTGCATTTAAGGTAAGCTTAGCAGTTCTAAAACCTTCAATGATTTGTCAACACAATGTGTGTATATAGGGAATAGTCGCTTGAAATCAAATTCTCCCTAGATACATCAATTCTGAATTTCTTTTGAATATATAAATTGTGCTGACCCGCCCTCACCTCCTCTCTCACCTGGCATGGGCTTGTGAAGCAGGCCCCTATACTCCCATCTTTTTCCTTTTTGTACTATTGCATTTAAGGTAAGCTTAGCAGTTCTAAAACCTTCAATGATTTGTCAACACAATGTGTGTATATAGGGAATAGTCGCTTGAAATCAAATTCTCCCTAGATACATCAATTCTGAATTTCTTTTGAATATATAAATTGTGCTAAAAATTCAAAACTTATTTTCATCTTAATGGGAAAAAAAATAAAAAAATAAAACATTTTCAAACTAAACAGAGAAAAATGAACAAGCTATTCGTTAGGATCAAGAAACTCAAAACACTGAATCTGTTCATCCAGAACATTTGAAATCATGTTATATGATGGAAATACTATTTTTAAGCATATTTTATATACTCAAAAGTTATAAATGAATGGCCAAACAGCCACACGAAGAACCTCGTCACAAAACAAAAGGCGTAACTTACAACATAAGATCATCAATCACGAAAAGAACTATGAAGAGACTCCCTCAAAGAACATTCAATGCAGTTTCATGATGCAGGAAGCACTCTATGCTTTCAAAACTGTAGCTGCCTAATAGCTTCCAGTTTGGTTCAGCCTTCGATTGCATACTCTGAACAACGTCTGAGTAAAACCTTGTGAACATTTGACATATAAATCCCATTCTGATCCTTCGCGCGCCATACTTGAACTGAAACTTGACAAGCTAATATAACATAATGTCGATTCAATAATCAATACATAATCATAGGTGGTCCCAAGCCTGCGTGAGGGAGGTGAAGGCAGGTTGATAACTAGCATAAAACTGTGTCAAGTCTTATTATATGAAACCCTATAATACACACACCTGTTTATCGATCCATGTAACATATCCAAATGAAAGGTACAATCAAGAAAAGAAACAAAGTTCCAGGAACCAATGTTCGACTCCTAGAGTACACTATCTTCTTTAAAAGAGCTGAATGTTGACAAACATACCAGATATTTGGAACCTTTTGCATCAGTCAACAGACTGTCGCTGTAGATGCAGAAAGTGAACCAATAAATGATATCAAATCAATTCGTTTCCATTGCATCAGCATGGTACTTCTCCAAATCAGCATCCAAGTCTTCAGCAGATACCTTCTCACCACGGCCTCTTCCTTGTCTGCGGCCTCTTCCAAATCCACGACCCCGTCCACCGCCACGCGAGTTTCCAAACCCACCACCCCTTCTTTGTTCTCTGTTCCACAGCCATATTTCCATCAAAATATGATAAAAACAACCCACTACGAACGGAGCAAAATACAGTACTGTGAATCAATATAAGTGGCAAACTACTGTTTCAACGTTGCACCACCAACCAAATCAGAGAATATTTATTTTTTCTTTCAGTTAATATTTTTGTCTAAATAGTCAATTTTACTTATTATTTTGCTCTAAAAAACTAAAATAGATCCTTATTCCATCTTCCCAAGTATGGGTGGGCAAATTAACTGCCTACCTGACTAACAGAACCAACCCGAGCCGACTGGGGCGAGTCTGAGTCAGTTTTCACCAGTCAGTCAGTCAGTCAGTCAGTTCGAGTCGGATTCTTATGACTGTAAACGGAGTCGGACAAAATCAGGTTGGGTCAGGTTTTAGCAATTAAGAACTGATCCTACTTGGCCCCGAATTTTTCGGTCCTCTTTTTTTTTTTTCTCATTTAAATATATAATGAAAATGGGCCTAAAATCATTTACATGATTGAGGAAACTGCCTTTGCCTTTACTGTATGTGCGTATATGTTTTACCGATGATATGCAGACCCAAAATAATTACTTTAAAGGCAAACCCGGCAGGCAAAAAAATCCACTATTTTGCGCCTAAACCAAACCAAACCAAATCAAACCAACCCAAACCGAATCTAGGACATCATCATAGTGTGTAAAGAAGATGCAAAACAATCTCTTAAAGAATAGTGGAGACCAGAAAGTGTATAATGTAAGACACTAATGGCCGGAAATTTGTCAAATGTAAATTTGATGGACAAGAAGTAAGAAAAATATTGGGTAACAAGAGCTTTAATCAGGTTGAGGTCTAGAATATAGAAGGGTCAAGAGAACTACAATAAATCTGTTTTAGGCTCTGATGAACATTGAGAACATTTTTTTCCATATCCGTGGGCAATATCAATTTATTCAACTGGTAACTTGCTAGAAAGTGTAGGATGACACTAGAAGGTAATAAATAAACTGTTCAAACAAATTTGTTGAGAACGCCGTTGCAATTATCCCCTTTACTTTTAAAGAGGATCTTGTTCATAATGATTATGACGTCATCTTAAATTTATAGAGTAAAAAATTTCACACTCCAACAAAGTCTTTACCTTTTGCTTTTTATTTTTCTTTTTCTATCAATCATTTATTCTTTTTTCCCTCATTTTTCAATTAAAAATATATATTTTTAGACGTTAATGGCTTCAAAATTCAATAATTTAAGAATAATTTGAATACTGGAGCATTGAAACTTGCAATTTTATGAAATACAATCATGGAAAAAATACTAAAAGAAAGTGAGTTTAGCTCTCCAAATTAGAAAGTCATACCACTCTATTTTGGAAAGTTAAAATATAGAGTCTCTTGGAGCCTAATGTCAAGCATTGAATTTTTAAAATAAAGAGCTTTTCACATTTAAAAAGCTTCTTGGAGATGCTCAAAAAAGTGATATTGATCGTGTACTATATTAAGTGTTTCTCTAGGTATCTTGTAATCTATCCTTTCATCTATCGCTTGACCATATTAATCCCAAAAACCCAACCAAAGTTTTCATCTTAGGAAACGACAATCAACTTTAAATGTTATATTCTTCTATCTCTATTAGGGCCTGCTTAGGAGTTTTGGGATACCAGTATTGGATCTTTTAAAGTACCGATCTTTTAAACAATATAGAGTAAATGTGTGTGTCACTCCTTAAAAATTCAATATAGCTTTACGTATTTTATCCAATCATTTTGTATTTTATATGAACTAACATGTGCACCAATTATTGTTGATTTGAATAAGGTCTTGCACGCTAATCATTTTCAATTGGAAATACTTGCTTTAGAGAGTAAAATTGGAAGAAATTTTGGAAAAAGGCCAAAACTACCGAATTGGTAGGTTGAGAAATACAACCTAGATTACAATACAATGCCCCAAAAAACTAACAAGTACTAATTTCCCCAATCTCTCATAAAAAAGTGTCACCCAAAATAGAGGTAAAAACTAGCAAGCCGAGTTTAAACCTATTGGAAGAAGTGTTTTCTGCACTTCTATACATCGGCTTTTTCTAAATAACCACTACCCTGACCAATGGCTTGTTTGGGAAGTGTTTATAAGCAGTTAAAATTATAAAAAGATAGAAAATAAGTTATGGACAAGTGGGTATTACTTGTGGGTCCCACAAAATGTGAGGACAAAAAGAAATTTGACTGAGCATAGATAGTTCATAAACATTAGCCAAACACAGGATTGGTAATGCAGCACTGGCTGTTAATATATAAGTCAGATACTCTGCATGTAAAATCAGTGGAAACAGTACATGTTAAAACATACAAGTAATCAAAATACCCACCTTCTAGGAACTACATTTGCATCACCAAAAGCACCAGTGGGTGGAAGAATGGCAGCAGCAGTAGCAAGGTTAGTTCCTACAAGCTCTATTTTCATCGGTTTCCCATCAAGCTGAACGTTATTATACCTCTTCACAGCATCTAATGCGTCTTGTCTTCTTGAGAAGACAACTTCCGCTGTACCCTGAAGAAAAGAATATTCTCTGAATCTCAGATAGACAGGGAAACTTTGCCAGAATGCTATATAAGGCCAAATTTGAAAAATACCTTTGATCTCCCACTCCTATCATAGTGTACCGTATATCGTTTCATATCACCAACTTCTGAGAACAGTTCCTGTAGATTAAAATAATGTATACTTCAGGTAAGGAATAGTCAATTAACCATTCTTAAAGTACACGATAGAAAGAGTCAGGAATAAACAAATTAACAAAGCAACAAAATGTACCACATTCTTAATCAACTGGATCATTTCCTAACTCTTCCCGCAGAAGATTAAATCTAAGGTGAATCATTTCCTACTACATCCAGAATATTTCAACCTATATAAACTAACTAGATACGGTAATGAGAACTAACCAGAAGCATAAAACCACAATTAGATCAGGAAGTCAATGCCATTTAAAAAAAGCACTTAACTTCACAATTTCAGAGAGAGAAAAAAAGAAAAAGGGATAAAAGAACACAGTGCCATTTGAGGAATACATTGGATGGCTGAAAATCAGACTATAAACCTCAGCAGAAATCTTGAGTAGAATAATCATCATACTAAGACACAGCTGCTGTAAGAAAAAATGCAGTCATGAGATTTCCTGTGTAAACAATCTATGTTCAGGAAAGAAGTTACATATGTCAATACTATATTTCCTTGTGTAAAGAAAAAAACTATACATAATATATGTCCAACTGATATGAATACTAGGTACGGCAACATCAGCCGACAGCGAGTACAGGCCATGGGGTTGCAGCACTCAAGTCTCTCACTGACATGTTAGTTGCAAATGAATTCTGCAAGATTTCAACAGAATTCAGTATGAATAGAACACTGAGAAAATCTAATTATGTTCTTTTGACAACTTCACCATTCCCATTCCAATTCCCAAGAGGAAAAAGAAAGAAAACAAAATGCAATATAAACTCTCACTAAGCATCCCAAATCTACTTTCACTCAGAACGGTGAGGAGAAGGGAGAAAGAAAAGGATAGAAAAGACTAGAGAGTGTGCTTTCGTCATGAAAAGAACAACACTCAGTTTTTTTCATGTGTTCAATATGTTCTCAAGTCAAAAACACTTGCAAGACAGTGGAATATAACGGTAATGAAGATGCTGTGGAATCCCATGAAGCCATAGTTTGTGCCAAAATGCATCTCAAGAGCTTCAATTTTTTATTGTGTATAAAAAAAGGTTGGTATAGAGTGAAAGAATGCATTAAGCTGAAAACAACTATTTTCCCTCTGTACGTTTGCATGTGAGATCAGTACTTGGATAGAAAATAATCAGAACATGTTGTATTTCTAATGCCTTCAATGCTATTCTATTTCCATCCTAAAAATATTAATTTTATGTAGATTGCTAAAATTTTTATATCAGTATTGGAGTTGAGCTTAATTATAAACTGTCACACCAGTCCTGAATAAGGATCATTGACATTCTGACTTTGTTAAAATGGATAGAAAATTTGGGTCTGGGAGTTGGATTTGGAGAAGACGGCTCCTTCACTACTTGATTATTTGTTTAGAAGGTTACTTTATACTAGACCCGCTACATGATAAATGGATATACTGATTTTGGTTATTTTAGTATACGTGACTAAGCTGTCTTGACCAGCTGATTGTTGGGATTCAGGATTCTTGCAGGTTGATTGTTGAATTCCTTTACTTGGGCGATATTTGGGAATCGGGGATATTTTTAATTCGAACCTATCAATCAGGTTTTACTGTTTTTTGCTTATAATTATGTCTATTGGAAAAATTGAATCTGGATATTCCAAAAGAAAACAGAATAAAAAGGTTCATCAATTGATTAAATCTCAAGAGGGACGGAATTATTTTCTAAGTTGAAACTTTTATGGGAAGCGATAACTACAGAAACTAATGAAGTTAGATTACATTAAGAGAATGAATTGTTGTTTCACAAATGCTTGGATTGTTTACAGGGTATTACTAACTATTCTGATCACCATTGCGTCAGTTGAAAAGAAGTCTTTCAAAGTTGAAATCAATTAAATCTTATCTTCGATCAACTATATCACAAAAGAGGTTGAGTGGATTAGCTATCATTTTATTTTTTCTTTTTTTGAATGTGGGTTCATACCAACTCAAACTCTTGATATTGAAAGTGGAATTTAATACACAATTCCACCCAGACAAGAAGAGCTGGTACCTATGATTTCTATTAAAAAAAATATGTTAGAAAAAACTTGATTTGAGTTGTTTGATTACTAATTTTGCATCTCAAAACGTGAGAAGATTAAATATGATGCTAGCCTAATATCTCGGATTGTCAGTGATATTTTATTTTGTAATTCTAACTTTTAGATTGTACAAAATTTTCATTTAAATAAAGATATATTTTTTATTTAAATATTGCTATACATGTAAAAAATTGAAATTATAGGGCCTCAAATTTCTCAAGGCTGGCCTTGCTGCCCAGATTTGTCAGCCTTGTTTCTCCATGCATTCTGCAACTAAACATCTATCAAACACGTCCTCTCTTAACTCCAATAACCTCCTAAATAGAAACCACAAGTTAAGATTACTGATTTTGTCAGCATGAACGATGATAAGGCTCCGAGACTGGACGGTTTCTCGTTCTCATTCTACAAGGCATGCTGGGATGTGGTTCGACTGGACATTGTGAATACTTTATCTTAATTTTTTGAACGTGACAGATTCCAGAGAAGTTCTAACGCTACATTTATTGAGCTCATTTCTAAGAAACCGGGAGCGACTGATATTAAGGACTTTCGCCCCATTAGCCTTGTCAGTGGGGTGTATAAGATTATTGCGAAAGTCCTGGCAAACAGATTAAAGGAGGTGCTGGGAAAAGTAGTGTCCAAGTTTCAGAATTCATTTGTAAAAGGACGTTAGATTTTGGACTCTGTGCTTATAGCGAATGAATACATAGATTCAAGAATGCGTCTATGGGTCCCAGGGATGCTATGTAAGCTAGATATTCAGAAGACTTAAGATCATATAAATTGGGGATTCCTGTTGTATATGCTCAGGCGCTGTGGCTTTGGGGATAAATGGTGTAAATGAATTCAATTCTTTATTCCTACTGTTTCATTCTCAGTTGGTCAACGGAGCACCTGAGGGTTATTTCCGGAGTAGTATAGGCTTGAGATAGGGGGATCCATTGTCTCCATTGTTATTTGTCATTGTGATGGAGGCTTTCAGTAGGATGATTGAAAGAGCCGTGAGAGCGGATTTGATAAGGGGTTTTATGGTTGACCAACTGCAGGTGTCCTATCTGTTATTTACAGATGACACGTTGATCTTATGCGATGTAGATGTTGAAAAATTCAGGAACTTGCGTCGTCTGCTCCTATGCTTTGAAGCGGTGTCTCGTTTAAAAATCAATTTGGGGAAGTCTAAGGCTATTCCAGTAAAAGAGGTCGATAATGTGGAGGAGCTGGCTGGTATATTGGGTTGTAAGGTTGCGCAGCTGCCGATTTCATATCTAGGGCTCCCGTTAGAGGCACGATTTAAATGTACCCATATCTAGAATGGTATTGTGGAAAGGATGGAGAGAAGGTTAGCAGGGTGGAAGCGTATGTACTTTTCTAAGGGAGGTAGACTTACTCTCATTAAATCCACTCTCTCCAATCTCCCTACTTACTTTTTGTCATTGTTCCCCATTCCGATTGCAGTGGCAAAGAGATTAGAGAGACTTCAAAAAGAATTTAGGGTTGGGGGAGAAGAGGAGACTCCATTTGGTCAATTGGGGAGTTGTTTGTTTGCCGATGAGGATGAGAGGTCTTAGGGTGAGGAGCCTTGTGTTGTTCAATAAGGTCTTATTGGGGAAGTGGTTGTGGCGACTTGGAGTGGAGAGGGAAAACTTCTGGAGAGAAATAATTGGAGTGAAGTATGGTGTGACGGAGGGGGGATGGTGTACATTTGAGGATCGTGGTTTTTATGGAGTGAGTTTGTGGAGGTCTATCCAACGAGGATGGGGTGCTTTTTTGAACAAACTGAAGTTTGTGGTTGGAAATGGTAATGAGATTAGATTTTGTGATGATTGTTAGTGCAGAGATCAACCGCTGAAGGAGGAATTTCCTTCCTTCCACCGCATTGCCTCAGTGCCCATTGCTATGGTGAGTGATCTCTTAGACATTCATAATGGGAGCTATAGCTGGAATATTACTTTTGGGAGGGATCTACAGAATTGGGAATTGGAAGATTATTCGCTGTTTATGACCTTTTTACATGATGCACAAATTCAAGTAGGAAAGAGGGATTGCATTAGGTGGAGGACAGCACGGGATAGCATTTTTTCAGTTCGCTCGTACTTTGGTTCCCTCTTGGGATGTGTGAATAATTCATTCCCCTGGAAGTTGGTGTGACAGTGTAAATTCCCTCCTCGGGTGGCATTCTTATTGTGGACAGTTGTGAGGGGACAAGTCTCAACGATGGATAATCTTCGACGTAAAAGCTTCTACGTAACCGAGTGGTGTTATATGTGCAAGAAGGATGGGGAGACGATCGATCATTTGTTCATTCATTGTAATGGTGTACGTTGGATTTAAAACAGTATACTTGGTTCTCAATCTATGGATTGGGTGATGCCTCATAGTATAGAGGACGTGATACGGGCATGGCGGAGAAAACTTCGTGATAAGGATAGCAAATTAGCATGGCACCTTATCCCGAGATGCATTGTATGGTGCGTGTGGAGAGAAAGGAACAATCGTTACTTCGAAAATCAAACAAAGACAAGAGAGCAGATAAGAGAAATATTTTACTTTACCTTGTATTCTTCGTTTAATGCTGTGGCTAGAAATCCTGTAGATAGGTTGCCTAATTTCATATTGTTCCTTAATGGCTTAAAGTGGTTGTACACCCCTCGTGTAGTCTCTTTTAAATAATAAAATTATCTGATTACCTAAAAAAAAAAAGATTATTGGTTTTGTGTCATAAGGCATGAAACCCAGTTATCCTAACAGCTTCACTTTTAGAAGTTACCTAGACTTCCCATAATAATGATTTCAATCAAAATAATTTCACTTTAGGTTGCTCTTGGAAAAGAATATGAGAATAAGTAATCTACAACAAACATAACATAGATAAAGTGAAGAAAATAGTGAATGTTCCCAAACAAACTGTCACCTACGCAAAACCTCTAAAAGCAAACAAGTTTTTGGAGTCCGTTCATAGCTTAGCGCCCATGAAAAAAATTCCAGGGTTCAGATTGAGACACGAAGTAAACATGTTTAGATTTGTTATAATGCAAGATGCTCGTAACTGTACGGGAAGAAATTTGCCAAATCACCCAGCAAGCGAGAGAACCATGCGGAAAATAAAAACGAGTAGAAGAGAGAAAAATGCACACTAATGTGGTTTGGAAAACTCATCGATGACCACCGGACAATGATAATCAATCAACTCAATAAACTTCAAAATACAAGACTCCTCTCACTCTCAACCTCTCCCTATAAAAAGCTAGAACACTCGATGCACAACATACGAACGCATGTGCCATTTTTTTTTCTTTTTCTGCCTTTCTCTCGCGCATTTAAAAAATGCCGTGTTGTGTACTTTCTTAACCCTCAAATTTCAATATGTGACTTTGTCATGTATTTACGTAATTCCTCCAACCAACTTCCCTGCTCTCTGCCCTAGGATTTTCGAGAAATTGAATGTTAAAAAATTTATAGTAGAACCTCAATCTACAGAAATTTTATGTCGTTACCCTTACCTTTTCTCTTTTAGTTAATATGAGTCAATGATCCAACACTTATCTTATTGAAGATTATTACACTCTGTAATAACTTCATATGTACATCCCACCAGTTCTATTCCTAGTTCCTGCAATTAAAGAATAAATGGAATCCCTAAAAGACAAGATGTTTCTGAATGTGTTAATCGGACCACATAAGCAATCAACATTCCTTTACTTTCTTGATATGTTGAGCTCCACATCTTTATCCATCCATTATTCATCTTGGTCCCAGTCAAGATCCAGAATCAGGATAAGCTATAATCAAATTTAAATGTTCTATGTTTCCAGTGCCAACACTAAAGAAAAAGACAGAGAGCGTCTTCTTCCACTTGTCCAGCATAATTTGGTGTCAGGAGACGAAAGAGATATGAAGCAAATTGTTGGAAATCAAGTTCTGAAAGAAAAGAGAAAATCCTGGCTGATGATGGTAAGATCATGGATATTGAAGAAGAATAAAATATTTCTACACTTCTAAGGATGAAGGGAAAAAAAAAATCTCAAAAGGAAAAGGACAGTAATATTTACAATATAGGATATTACTGTTAGGAGATTTGCGGTTGGTTGAGGTAATGGACTAGCTAAGGTACGGAACATAAAAGGATAAACAGAATAGCAATGAGTTTCCATTTCAGGTGCTGAAAAACAACACTGAGAAAACTAATCAATGGATCTGTGGGCTTTCGGTAGTTTAAGGCTCGGGCTACACAATGAGCTTAACTTGACAATCCAACTCATAAAGGAAATGAGATTGTTTGAGAAAGATGGATGGATATAACAACAAAATTAGAGAAGAAATAATAGAGGAAGCAGAAGTAAGCTAGTTCTTGATCTAAGAGTTGGATAACTTAGATTGCATATCAAAATCTTGGAAAAGCTTCAAAGGGTCCATAGCTACTCAATCATCCAATCTTGAATAGTGTAGTGAATTAGAAACAATAAAAGGCTTTATATGGACTACAAGTCCTAAACTTAGTAGTTCCAAGTTCTAATTTGGAAACTAAATAAATTACCTATCAAGCTAATACTAATTAGAGACACTTATGAAATTTCTGTAAGAACCAGACTCCATTCAGCTGATTAACAAAGATATCATTTTTTGCAATATTTCAGTGAAGAGATCACCTTAATATCCTCAATAGAAACGCTATAGTCCAAATTCGAAATGTATAACTTCGTTCCAGTCTCAATATTCGACCCTCGACCAGCAGCAGCGGAAAACATGTCATGTCCCCAAGTAGACTCCGGTGCCTAAACCACACACCACCATAATTCAGCAGAAAAAAAATAAATATATAAACAGCAAGCAATAAAACAAACAAAAACACAAAATTGCATCTCAGAGATGACGGATCTGACCTTGGCGACGGCATAGGGAGCAGCGCGATTGGCAGAGCGGTTGGAGAAACGGCGATTGGGGCCCGGACCGGATCCGGAGCTTGATCCGCGGCCTCTGCCTCGGAAGCCGGATTTCTTATTACTCTTGATTAGATCCTCTAGAGTCATGTCAAGGGGGGCACCAGACATTTTGCGACGGCTATTGAAATCCAAAATCGGAAGAAGAATTGAGGGTTTGGAGGAAGAAGATGAACGGCGGCTCGGGGAAAGGTACAGGACCGGAGCCAAAGGAGTCTCTACTCGACTAATAGATAAATATCTTATACGGTTTTTGCTTTAACGGAAATTGCACCATTGGTTCTCTACTTTTCAGAATAATTGTGCAATTAGGTTTTCACGGTGGAAATTGTCTGAATTTTCATTAAATTATCATTTAGCACTTCAAGTTCAAGGTTGAAAAACAAGATTTAGCCCCCGTCTATGAGCAATTGTTACCAAACTTCAATAAAAAAATTAGTCTCTATATAGAATATGGTCCCATACAATCCAACATTAATCGATTCCCTCTCTTCAAATCATGTACGCTATGTTACTACTTTACCCAGAGACGGATTTGGGGGGGGGGGGGGGGGGGGGCCCCC